CCCTGCTCCTCTGTTCCCTGCCTTGGTTCACTTTGCCAATTATTAGCCAGGAGAAATCTAGTTGTTATGTCGCTGCCAGCCACCTCTGCGCCCTCAATGCTCAGAGGGTTAAAAGATATTATAATTTGAACAGAAGTCGTCTCAAGGCCTACAGCTGGCTAATAACAGAGTTGTATTGAGCTCGCGCAAACCCCACAGCTGTGACTTTTTGCCACAAGGCGCAGGCTAGACAGGGCCCTAATCAGATGGGCCAGCCGGGCAGTGGGGCCAGTGTCTTTATCGGCCAGATGGCGTGAATTTAGACACTTTTGTTATGCAATCGCAGGGAGGAGTTGGAGAGAAGAAAACAAAACAAAAGCCACCATGCTGTGCGCTTATTTGAGTTTGAAATTAGAGACAGATTTTTGAAAGTTGAGGGTTGAATTTTAAAAACCATTTTGGAGGGGAAGGGGACACTTTAGCTTGTCTTGAACAGTAGCTCGGCTGACTGGACACCCCATGTCCAGGGGTAGTTGTCCCCTCCCACCCTCTTCCCTATCATTCTTTATCCCACTTTTCTTTCTTTCATTTTTTCCTTTCTGAAGAATGCAGGTAAGATTGTAATAAAATTTCTCATACTCACATCTAGACCCCCCACCCCCCACCGCGCTGCTTCCATTTCTGTCCCTTTTCTTCTCAAAAACTCTCTGTCGAGGTAGGGAAAATACAGGAGGCCTGTAAGCAAATTGAGAGAATTTCAGGTAAAACCTTTTCCAAATAAGCTCATGAATAAAAGACAGCAAAACAAGCCAAACAGAAGAAGCACCCTCATTAGAAACGCAGAGCCCTTAAGCGCCTTGCTCCCTGCTCATCTATTGCTAAGTTGGGTTTCTTTTTTCTCCCTTCTTCTTCTTTTCCTATTTTATGGTCACCTTCAGTTTTTCCAAACACTTGGCAGGAACTTCAGATCTAGACACTTGTTCGAAAATATTCAGAACCCAGAATTCCTTTAACTAGAGTAGTTATGCCTGAAGTTGGTCACCCAGGCTTTGTCTGTATTACAGCAGAGGGTGGGAGCATGTGGGGTTTGTATCCATGGTCTCTTAGCTGCAGCCATCCTTGGGCCGATCCCAGAGCGATTGCTCAGGAGTGTGGGTCCAGGACGGCCTTCAACTCTCCACACCTCTCTCTGTGTGTGATACAATCGCTGGTCTGAGGCCTGAACGCTGGCTAAGAGACAAAACAAAGAACAAGTAGGATGGATTGAGGAGATTTCCTTTCTTTTTAGGGAATGAAAAAGGAGTGGACTTTGATTCACTTAAAGACCAGAGGTATTTTAAATGGGGGCAAATGCAGCTATGCTGTCAGGTTTCAACAGGCAAGTGAGTGTCTCCCACGCCTGTGCCTTGTTGAATATTAACGTGGGAACTTATATTTAAATATGCTGCTGATGGAAAGTGGAAGACTGGGTCCTCAAATGTCTCTGCAATTCTTCTTGGAATATTATTTCCTTCGCTCGGTTGATCCTCCACATTGCACGACACAGGCTCCAGGCTTCCGTTTGTATCCGTTTTCCTCCTCCTCCAGAGGAAATCCCCACGGAAAGTCGATGAATTCAGTTGAGCAATTTTGCAAACTTCCTTGGCCTCCTCTGAGCCAGTGATGCCCAAATTGAACAGATTGGCACATTCAGGCAGTGTGTGCGCCTGTCATGAAATTGTGCCCAGCATCACACACATATTTGGTGTTAGGCTGACATGCTGCGGATGTCCAAGGGAAGGTCTTTAGGTAACTAGCATGTGTAGGTCTTTGGAAATTGTGATGCTGACAAAGGAGTTTTGCTGGAGCCGGTGAGGTATGGCTTGATGTAAACAGTACTCTAGGGAAGGACGAGGTCGGGGAGGGATGGGATTGGGTGGGGAGTTGGGAAGAGAGGCAAGGGCTTTGGGAGGTGGGAGAGCAGCTGGCTAAGGTTTTTATTGGTGTTAATCTTGGGATGGATTGAGATTTTAAATGTTAAGACCTAATATAATTTCTAAGGCAAAATAGTATTTCAGAAAGGCCTAGTGGCTGCTTCGGGTATTTAAGAAATTTGAGACTTTTTTTTTAACTTCCT